CATCGTTGTTTTCTTTTGATGGGGTAATGCATTTCAAACCATACCTCTACTTTAGGAACACTCATTACTTGTGATCAAATGGTTTAACAAAACTCTAAGACTAATAAACCGGTGTGACTTCCTGATTTCAGCTTCACAAAGTCATGTGTAGTGACGTAATTGTTAGGAACAGGTCATTGCAAAGAGAAGAAATTTTCCACAATCATTTGACTTGTTTTCTAACGATCAACAAATTTTTGATGACCGCAAAGTTATGTATTGTGAACGAAGGAAACCGGTTACGTGTTACAAACATAGCACTGAACATTTTAGTGACAGCGGGAAATTCATTTATGAAATGAAATGTGACGTCACGTTGATTGCTGTGACCTTCGGTTTGCCGTCTAACAAGAAAGCCGCGGAGGCGTGAAAATTACGCCCCCGGCTCTATAAGAATGTTTTGAAGCTTGTTATTTCCCACTAATCAATTATACATAAAGACATTTGAACACACCTAACAACGTTCAAGCTATAAGACCCGGGGTGACGGTTCTTCCACCAGGGTGAATTTGTTATCGCAGGCACAAGAGTAAACTCTTTCAATCTTTATCCCCGGGTAATCCCGCGCTGGTACTACAAACATATGTGTCGTTGAAAGGGTTCGGGGTTTGACGAAAGCTTCCACCTTTTCCACCTTGCATGGAAAGAGTGTTTCTTTTTTATTCTTTTAAAAGATCAAAATATACCGGATATTGAAATTTTTTGGCCTCTCGTTTTATATAACAATTACAAAGTGTTAATTCATCATCAAAACGGCAACTGGATGAATGTTAAAAGCTGCTTGGTAACTCAACGATCTCAGTGATGTACGTCTGCTTTCCAGATTTTTTACAACGTGCACACTCCCCTGTACCTGTATAGCCAGAGAACGAGTAACCATAGTAACACTCCAGCAATAATATATATCAAACCCCCATCAAAAATCGACACTGTCCACAATATTCCACTGAGTTCGACAGCAAGGGGATATCTTTCTTCATTCAATGAGAGGTGTAATCCCTTGTTAGGTTAACTTTACGATAAAACAAAGCTAAACTGATTGACAGAGCAGCTCCACAATTTGCGAGAGAGAAGGAACTTCTGTTGCTGTTTCACTCAGTCAAAGCAAAGTCCTTTCTTTCCTAACCCCAAATATAACCCAAACTTAATAGGAATCTTTAAATGGTGCATATATACCCCTGTATAACTTGCCCTGAGAGTTTATTTTCCAGTCAATACGTTATTCCTTAGAGTTTGTGCCCTATTTCAAGTGTTCATGACTTCCCTTTTGTAATTTGTTATGCCACAGTTAAGTCTCCTTCATCATAGCGACTTAGCGACTTGTGCTGTTCACACTAGGGACATAAAACATTAGCATGAGACTCGTCGTCATGTTGTTGGAGTGAACTGGGCCTTAGAAAAAAATTTCTGCTGAGCATTCATTTTAGCTGGACAAAGGTTCTGTCTTATTTTCACTCGGAGTTTTG